TACCACTTTAAATCAATAAACAACCAACTTCATTTATTGTCTTAAAAATGAGTGTTTATTGAATTTAATAAAATATTATTACTCTTATTATCTTATACAGAATAGCTCAATACAGCTGGATAATTGAATAGTAAAAGATATTCATATATAAATGCATCTAGTACCTTTAAAAGTATTTATGATATCACTAAATTATCTACAAGACTTAATAAATTTACTAAATACACTTATATATCATAAAAAATAATAATATATGAAAAAATATGTAAAGTAAAAAAGAATTACTTCTATTATCTGTATTACAGAAGATAATAAAAGCAATTAAATTTATTTAAATATCAGAAGACAATATTTTTCTTGTTTGCACATAAAATATATTAGTGCCTTTTATTTTTTGAATAACTGATCATCACATCTCATAATAAAAAAAACTAAGGAAAATTACAACTTTATAAATCACAATTGCTTTGTATAAGTCTTATTATTTCAAAGTTGTATAAAATAATATAATGCATTTTCAAGTTATAACAGCAATGTTATAACTTATATACCTGTTGACATATGATAAAAACTTAATTAAAATTTTAACTCAAGATATCAAGAGAGTTGAATCAAACTGCAATATAATGAAATTAAAAAACAAAAAACTATACAAGCAATTTTCAGATAAATTTTTACAAAATCTTTTTTCATAGCAAAAACATTTGCCTTAAATGCTCAGGCTATAAATCTGCTAATTTTAATAATTAATACTAATTAATTTGCAACTAGATTTAAACATTCGGCATCATCTCTTATCTAAATTAATAATTATAATTTAAATAATTTATGAAATAATTAAAATCATCTGGAAGAAATTACTAGGCTTTGAATTGTTTAATATATCTATAAATTTTTTCTTGTTACAAATTTTATCTTATATTTATTTAATTATAAAGTAAATTTCTTTTAACTTTACTTTATCTGTATAAAGTATGTGTTGTAAAACTGTTAAGTTGGTATGGTCTATATATACATAATTATCTAATTATCTCCACATTTTAATGTATTAATATGAAATAATTGGTTTTCATTTACATGAATCTTTCTAGACACTAATTTATTTATAGATTGCATTCCTAGAAAGTTCTATTTTATCTTCTAATTTTGTAAACAACCTATCTCATTTTTTGTATTGAATTATAGAGTTACAATTTTTCATTTATCCTGCAGAATATGCACAAAATATGTGTAGTCACACAAAAAAATTAAAATATTTCCCAAAACAAAGACTATTTTAGAGAATTAATGTGCATTAATTTTTTTTAACTAACTGAAATAATTTTAATGACTTTATCTGAAATTCGAATATACAAATACTAAATAAGGTTCTTTGTTGTTAGTCAGAATTTCATTCTTTAAATCTGTAATTAACAATTAAATGATAAATAATAGGATTTAGGCATATCATATATATTCATTCTGATCAACACATTTATATCAATTTTTATTTTATTTTATGCATGAACTGTTAAAAGAATAAAGTTAGTAGATTAACTGGTCTGCAACATTAAATCCTCTTAACTTTTATTAATGATGAGAAAATTTTTTTCACATTTTTGATGTGTTAATTACTTGTATCAAAAGCATATCAAGTTTACAATGAATCATTACAACTAAACAAATAGTTTATAATACAAACTGTTTATTTAATTGCAAACAGACAGATTTCAGGAGATATAAAAATGTTATTGGCAAACTGTCATTGTCTACTTTGTACTTTTTATTTTATTTTAAAAATGATAAGACAAACAAATCTGTAAGGAATAAATCAAATTGAAATAAGAATCCTGAATAAAACATATTTTAATATCTAAAACACTTAAATGAAGTAACTTTTTTGAAAGTATACAACACTTTCTGAAAGAATCTATCCTAGCCATGCTGAAAACATTATTAAAGTATTTATTGAATAATCAAAAAGCAAAGTAAAATTTTTTAAAAGAAAAATTTCTAAATTCACAAATTATTATAGTATGATATTTCAAAAAAGGAAAATAAGCAAAGTTCTTGAAAATCAATTATTTTTCAAATTAAAATGATCATTATGCCTGAAAATGTCTATATAATTTTAGTAAGAAAAATTATTCAGCTTTTGATAAGTTTTAATTGAAATCTTCCTGAAAAATACCTTATACTGTACTATAAAAATATGATGCTATACAGAATACCCAAATAAAACAAGATTCAATTTAACAAACTAACATAAATGACTATAGCTTAACTATAAATATGGAATGTCTGTTTCTACTTTCAGAGAACAGAAAGCTGCCACAGTACACAAAATAAATTATCTACTGTGTTATACTTATGTAAACATATACTAGAACAAAAATAATTACAAAATTCTTTGCAGAAAGCATGAAATCAAAAATTCATTTTTCTCTCACACTTTCTTTTTAATGAGGAAAAGCATTAAAAAATATCTAATCAAGTAGTTGTTTTAAAAACAAAGCATCATTGCCAGATAATTCCAGATGTGACAATTCCACTCTATCTAATAAGTGAAGCAAATAATTTCTATGATTAGAAATATCATCAAAAATAAATTGTAAGTTTTTAATTCTACCTTTTCTGTTAAGTTAGCATTATCATTAAAGAATATCTGTGTTTCTGGAAAGATTACAAACTAGACACTAAAAAAACATGCTATTTTTATCATAATGAACAATTAGATATTTGTGAATCAAACAGCATTTCAAAGAACAGAGACAAAGTTTTTTATATTGAATCATCACTATATAACTAAATTGAAATATCTTTTACTAATACATTCTATCATCATGTTTTATCAACAGAGAAATTATAGCTGCATATTATTAGGTTGCAATCCTGAAAAGCAACATTTTTATGACTTTTTATCTTCATCTTATCTCATCCTCAGTACCATTGTAACTTGTTTTATGCTTTTCTCACTTTTAAAAAATGCTTTAGAGAAGACCAATCTTTAATATTTGAGTGAAAACCTTTATCTATTCCCTTTTTTTCACCTTCAATCATCATCCCTCATAGAAATAATTTTTGCAGGTTTTCATATCTTACAACGTAAAGAAAAGTTATTTTAGTTATCATTTTCAATGAAATTCTTTCTTCTCCTATCACATCCAGTAGTGCTTCATTCTTTTTCTTGCTGTTTGGAGAATTTTCAACATCCTTCTTAGCATTCACATTTCAAAAACATTTAGTTTCTTTTTACTACTTTCCAACCAGGTTCTATATCATGTAAGGAAATCAATTACAAATACTATTTACAAAGTTTCTGTCTTGTTTTTATGCTTAGTTTATCCTTGTGATTCTATTATATTCAGTACCAGATACTGTTGAAAATACTGCAAAACATTCAAAATGTGTTAACTGGAAAAAATTACAACTTACACACAGTATATAATAAATAATTTCACAACTTATAATGGTACATTGTTTAATTCTTCCACATAAGCACTTTTATAGTTATTTTTGTCTCTTCAGTCTTTTAAACTATTTCCTACATAATTAGAACTTCATGACAGATAAAGCACTTTGAGTTGCTATCTAAACATGACAGAGCAGAGTTCACAAATCTTATACCATTGACATGTCAAAGTTTATAGAAAACAAAGTAAATTTTTTTCTGAGATAACAGAATTTATATTGAAGAACAGCAATTATCTGAGAAACATTATTGTTAAACAAAATAATACTTTTCTTAGAGATACTAATAATTATTTTATTTAGAATAGTTAAAAATCAGGACAATATGGAATAATTTTGATAATATTGATTAAAGCCATTTTTGGTTTCATCGATGGATACATTTTTTTATTTTATATTTGGAACTGTCATTCTTAACTGATAACTAGCAGTTTGAAAATTCAAAATTTTTTAAAAGAAACTAATACCAAAATTATCTGTGTTATATATTGTTTAATGTCAAGAAAGTTGTTTTTAATTTGTTTCTTAAAATATGACTTATATCCTTTTAGTTTAAATTATTAACTGTTTTTAAAAACATTAATCTGAATTTGATCACTTTTTCTAATCACATCAAACTGTTTATTATTTAAGTTTTCCATGTAAAAATAATTTCAAATATATAGAAAGAAAAAAAAAAAACATTATTACAGTTTGCAGAAAGTGTCAAATAACAATTATTCATTGAATGATACAACCTATCTAAATGTTAAACCATTTATTATTCTATAAATTTGATTATTTCTGACAATTTCAATATACTGTACTCTAAATTCAACCATACAAATTTTATATTTATGTAATGTTTATCTAATTTTTAAAGACATTTATCATGTATCTATTATAATTAAATTGACAAATTAAATAAAAAAGATGAAGTAAAAATAGTAATAAAAGATAAATTTACTATTACACTATATACATGACATGGCTGTCAGTTACATTGTGACTATCCATATTGCTAATAAGATTAAATAAAAATTTATATTTCTGTAAAAACAAAACAAATATGTAAATACAAGAAAATATAAACTGCTACAAACTTACAGTATTACATGTTTCATTTATTTCAAAACATTAAATTTCATATCATAGTATTTTATTTGTAAAATTAGCTGCTTTAATGTGTTGTTGTTACTCAAGTATGTCTACTTTTAAAAAAAATAAACTAATTTCAATCCTTCTCATATTTACTATAAATTATTTAAGTTCTTAATAAACTTACAATATTAATTCAGATACAAAAACAATAAATAAATTTAAATTAATATTTAGTAACATTTGCATAGAAATAATAACGACTTATGTAGCTTTTTACATCGTAATTTTATAATGTCTGGTTAATTTCATTAAACATATATCCTTGTACATACATTTTAAAAACAGATTCTCTCTAAAGAATTTTACTTGAAATTATTATACCAATCATTTTGTAACTGATACAGTTTCAATAAGTCAGCTGGGAATAATTTTATCATCAGACATACATTAAAAGTGTAATAAGAGCTTACCTGAGTTGGCCAGGCAAAGAAGATGGTACTGAAAAATCCTTTCCAGTAAGAATGTGGTCATTACGTTTTTCAAAATGAAGTCCCAATGGAGCAGGTTTTGTTGCTTCTAACTTTAGACTGAGTGGCTCAACTAAACGATCATTAGTACCAGCATTGCTGTTTCCTTGCGAGAGGTTTGTTAATTCGATAGCCTATAGGAAAGATAATTTGTTTTGTTGCTTTTGATAAAATTTTTTTCTTTTGCAAAAATTAGTGATAAAACTATAAAAATAACAAATACTAAACAACAACAAATTTGTTATGTATATTATCTAGAATGCATAAAAATTACAGAAATAATAATTTGCATTGAAAAATTTTAAAATTAAGATAAATATTTGCCATCAATTTTTATATAAATTTGTTAGCTGCTCCTTCAGCAACAAACTTTTCAATAAGCCATAATAAGAAAGTCCAAAAGTGCATAAATATTTGTCTTCATTATTGCAAATGTTCCATCTGTGAATAACTTTAATTTAAAGAAATTAAATTAAATTCTTGAAATTTAAATTTACGTTTAATAATAATAATACCTTTCTACTATCTACAACATGACTAATGTGCTCTTGACTTGGTGCCATTGTAACTATAGGAGGAGAACCCAAAGATATGGTTCCCTGAGAAGTACTGAAATAACTTGATGCAACTGGACGTTTTGTTGAAACTGATTGTTGACTTTGAGTGGGAGAAGAAGTTGGAGTGATTGGTGAAAGTTCTTTCTCTGTTTTTAAAAGAAACAGATTTTCATAATTATTGAAGGTTTTTGATTTTATATATCATATTTATACCTCTCAAATTAATTAAAATAATATTTTAATATATATATAAATCTATAAGAAATATGAAATTGTTTTTTATAATACAGTAAAAATGTTAACTTGGCATGTAATTATTAAGAGAGGAAAATTATTAAAAATATTACAAACCAATGGCTGGATCGACAGCTTGTTTTGCCAGTTTGCACAGGGCGGCTGCAAAACTAGATGTCCTTGTGGCTGCTAGAGTCGGATTGCTACCTCCGCTGAAAGTGGAGAACACATTATTTGCATGTGATGGTACTTGAAGGGGCGAAACTGCAGCCATAGTTCTTCCAGGAATCTTTTGAGAATTTCCATAGGGATGATGAACTGTTAAAGGTGGTGGCTTAGAGCCATGGGGTAACCCTGGTAAAATTAATCATACTTCAAAGAAAGTTTGTAATTAGGATATAAGTTTTAATATATAATAGTGTGAGTGTGTGTACATATGTAACAAAATGTTAAGTTTATAAAGTTAATAATATAATAATTTATAAACTTATTTATCACACCTTATATATACATTAAAATTTCCTTAATCTACAATATGCAAAATCTGCTTGACTCTGCGCATTATTAACTTCTGTAACTCTTAACAGTACACACAAATTTAAATGTAAAAATAACTTTTAGTTAATGATGCCAACTTAAAAATTTTATTATTAATAGAAGTATAGGTATAATGAATGTTTCTGTTAACTGAAATAAAGTCTTGTGTTCAAGATTGTCTGACTTGAAAGTCAAGCACACTTGAGGTACTTTAAATCTCGTGAAGTAACAAGTGCACTCAACCGAATAACATGCCTGACAACAGGGAGACAAGATATACTTCATTCTCATCATCTCACTTGTTTCATGGACCAGAAATAAAACTTTGAGAATCCATAAGAATGGCTGGCTCTGTGGTTGAGAAGGATACATAAATCTTGATGAACTGCAATTTGATTGACATATCATACTCCAAGATAAAAATACTGCTAATGTATCTACTAGATTACTATATATTGATTCTTCTAAGTCACAAAAAAATGTTAAATTCAATTTGTTTTTGGTTCTATTTTATAATAAAGAATCTTAAGTCCTGCTCTCATAACTCTACTAAACATTCAATTCTACAATTAATGATATTTAGTTGATGTTATCATTGCACCATAATGGAAATTAAGTTCCAATTATTTTCAAATTAAACAACGGAATTAAATAAATAGTTTAACTTCACCTAAATGCATGTAATGTGTCATCAAAAATTGTGTATGAATAAATAAATAACTATACCAATATATTGTAATTGTTACTTCCCCAATATTTATATAAACAGGTTTAACTAAACTGATCATATTGAACAATTCACTTTGTAAAATAAATTATTTAAAATATGTTCAATTTCTAAAATATTTTCTAGATTTACTTTAAATTTTTTTTAAAATGTTTTCAGTAGTAATTCTTTGAACTTCTAATTTATGCTGATGATCAAAACAAATTTTTATCTTTCATTTTCAGTGCTATAAATTCTATGCAGTAACATTAACATTAATAAATTAATTTTGAAAGTAAACTAACACAAAAAAGAATTCAAATATTATTTAATGTAATCAATCATTTAGTTAAAAAAGAAACATTTTATAAAAATCTTTCAGTTTAAAATAAAATTTAAAAATTAAATGCCCTTTTAAGAATAATTTTTTGAAATTAAAAACTGCAAAAACTGTTAAAAAAAACTGTTTTTATAAGTAGTTATTAATTAAAAATTGATTTGTTCTGTAGAACTGATGATTTAAAGTTTTAAATAATCATTTTATAAACATAGTCTGAAATTTACTGTGAAAAGTTCAATGATAAATCAAGCATTCTGTATGCTATGTGATTATCTTGAAATTAAGTCAGTGGAACAATGAAGCTTACAAAAATCCCATTAAATTTCAAGAACATACGAAAAGAAAATATATTAAATATGACAATAATAAAGCTGCTGATTTATTGAATATTTAAAATCCTATAGTTATAAAATATATTTACTTATAGTTCAGTTTTTTTAGAAAATAAAATATTTGATATTAATATAAAGTAAACAAATCTTTATGTATTTATTAAAATAATTTTTAGTATATTAAAACTTATTTTAAGTAAATGATTAATTAAAAATTGCAGCTGCATGCTATTTATGATACAGATTTACAGATGTATACTTTTATTAGCAATAAATGCAATTCTAATTTTTATCAGTTTAATTTTAAAGTGACGCGAGAAATATCATGCAAGTTATTCAGTCTCTCTTATTTCAATATTTCAGTGTTTGAAGTGCAACAGTGATGAATACATTTGAAGCAAGTGGAATGACCCTATCTTAGTCATTTCCACTCATGCTACAGCACTTCAACCACTCTCCCCAAAGCAAATTTACCACATTGGTACTCAGTAAATAGATGAGGATATGTGATATCATTCAGCCTCCAGCTGTTGCCGGCAGCCATTTTAAAATTAGCTCTCCAAACCAGTAGCACAACTGCAGTTAATCTCTCCTCGTACGGTGATCGGAAGCATTACGGCAGCAAGCTACCATCGTACCGAATGCGGAAATATTTCTTATTGTGAGAACTTTAACAATTGCAGAAGACAATTAAATTGAAATTTAATATTGAAAATAATTTATTAAATTTACTCTAAAATATAATTTTAAGATATTTTAAAGTTGTTTTTAACTTTTGATTGGTTTAAGATGAAATTCAATATACAGAAAAGTTATAATATAAAGTTATCCTTCATAAACGAAACATTTCTATTTAGAAGCAATAATATTTTAATTCACAAAACACCATAGAAAATACTAACAAAAATTAAAGTTTTTTGAGAAACAATACATAAGAAATACAACATTTTGTGAATTAAATAATTTCATTAATATTAATATTATTGATTTTATGATCTGGTAATCAAAGTCTGACCTTGTGAGATGAAATATGTGGAAACTATTAGATAAAGGAGGGAAAAAAACAATACATTATCTAAAACAGGTAGAAATGAAGAAAAATTATTTTTCCTTTATCCATGAAAAAAAAGAAAATTTTGTTTTTGCAGACTTATTGATAAGAACTTTGAAGATAAATACACAAAAACCTTCATATAACATCCCAAATCTGGATGGTTTTCTTCTATTAATTGTGTAATACCATATTAATATAACTGATGAAAAATTTCAAAGTAGATTCTAATATGTGTTTATGAATTAAATAATCTCTAAAATCTGAAATTAAAATGTTCCAGTTATATCATATTTTGTGAATAATAAACAGTATGCATAGGTATAAAAAAAAAAAGAAAATTTTGTTTTTGCTAATGAATTGGGTAAAAATGAATTTGCGTAGCTATACCTACGCAAATTCATTTTTACCATCTTAATTTCCATATATTATGAGTATATAGATAAATCTATACTGTAAATATAGAAATTGCTATTACAACAGATCATTATTAGAACTCTCAGACTAAAATTCTAAGAATTTAATTCTTATCATTGGATATTTCAGAATAGTACAAACAAGTAATCTACAAATCCAAATTCTGTCTGATATTTAATGTTTGATAGATATGAAATTTACCTTAATTAATTTAATATAAGTCAATTATCTAATTTATTGCAATTCAATTTGCTTTGGTAAGTCGACGAATCAGTCTGCCAACATCAAATCAAATCCTTTTATTTCGACTTAGATTATTTTCTATTGCAGTATTATAGTCTTTTTTTTTAATTTCTTTTTTATTTTTCTTCCAAAAAAATCCAACATCCTAACTTTTGTTTTCTCAATTTTTATTTTTTAATTTGTCGTCATCTCTATTTTTCTTAAGTTCATTAAGCTCTTCAAAATGGAGACAAAGGAAACACTTTTTTCATGTTCTCCACTGAGGTTGTTTCCCTTTGCAAGATGTACTTTCCAGGAATAAGTGGAGGGGAGGAGGGAGAAGGGAAGAGAAAAGACAGGAGCTAAAAGGGCAGGGAGTTAATGACTAGATTTTTGTTTCTCTTAGATGTCGTCGTTTAATTTTCCGGGCCGTGTCGAGAGATACGCTGCCCGCTGCCCGGAGGCAATCGAGGAGCTGCAACCCATGGAGAAAAAATTTCCTACAGCATAAAGAGAATAAAAAAAACCCAAGCCATTGCAATGAAACAAGCAACTGGTGTCACCAAAACTGTATTCTCCCAATTGTTAATAAAAAGGATGCTAAATTTAATTACTAAAAATTAAATGCCAATTAAATAACTCACAAAAAGAACCACTATAAACACTATCAAGCCTAACTGTACAAAATACTCAAAACTTAACATGTGTAAAGATCATCTTTGGTAAAAAATTAATTGCAAATTTGAACCCTAATTTCTTACTGTGTGTACTTTATAATACTTTTTAAAAAGCATTTTAAAAATGTTACAAGATCATTATCGAACAAAAACATTTACAAAAGGTTAGAATTTTTCGTTTATTATAAAGCATATCTAAATCTCATTATATCTATTCAAAACAAAACGACACATAAATTTAATATGGGGTAACTAAGGTCAAAAGCCGTGGCACAAGGAGAACAACTAGTCACCAGGAGGTAAGCAGTAATAAAACTTAATTAGCTTCCTTTCAAAATGTAAGCAAACTTCGCGACGTACTGTACGTGTAACTGTCAGCAAGAATCAAGTATCCATTAAAAAAGAAGGTAGATTTTTATACCACTTTTAGAGAAAAAGTGCCGACTGGTACGTCGTAAACGAATCCATCTGTCACCACAGTTGGCACGTAACACTCTTCCGTCACCTTGGACGAGTGAAGACGGTGTTAATTAAATCCGTGACGTCACGCACTGATGCGGTTTTAAAATCCGAAAAGAGAAAAGATGTTGGAAAAAGTTACTCCCGACTAAAGTGTCTATCATCACTTTTTAATACGACGCCTCCGAAGCCAGTTGGTCCTTTCGTACCTCCAACCGGTCCCAACTTCTACTAGTACTTTTTTTTTATTGTTATGTGGCAATTTTACAGTCGGACGTCGAAAATAAAAGGCATCAGTGTCTTTGCACTGCGACATCAGAGACGTGTAGGAGGAAATGCTTTGCCATAGATTGTTTCCAGTCTAAATAACCTCCAGAGATGTGAAAATAAGCAGCTATAGAATGGTATAAGAGCACAGTTTTCCTTTCCAGTACCTAAAAATCGAACAACATTTGGAAGATCGGCAGTGCGTGATACGGAATGAGTTACACTTTGACTCGCGGTTGCGTCACGTTTATCGCGTGCAGTGCCTCTTAATAATATTAGATTGTCTTTTTCGAACACGACGAATTTAAAAATGTATTTTAACGAAAACAAAGAAAATAATAATAAT